ATTGCATTTGGTTAAAAAAAAATCATTTGTCCACAAATAATTAAATTAAAAAAATCTGTACATGGATTTCGGTGACAATCTATTTTGTCACATATCAGAGTTTTTCCTTTTTCCATCAGCATGGATGGATATAATTTGAAAATAACCACATCAACCTCAATAATCACTAAAATAACTTGTTTACTGTATTCATTCATTCTATAACAACTGATCTTTTCCTTTTTTAATCATCAGAAATCTGTCTGCCTTTCTTTAATGAAAGAAGGTTAAAACTCCTTTTAATTTGGACCTGATCTTTGTTTTCTCTACTCTATGTTGGCTTATCATCTGGGAAAAAAGAGAACCATCAATCAGCTCTGTTTATAAGGGGACAGCGCAATGATTTGAACAAAATATTTCGAAAAAATATGGGAAAGTGTGTTTAGTTCCGAAGGGAATCCATGCCCTTGGTGAAGGACTGTGGACGGCGTTTTGCTGGCAGAAAGCAAACAGGTTTGAACTTGTCAACAAAAGGGCGGCAGCTGGAATAAAAGCTCAAACTTTGTGTTGGTTCTTACCGCTGTGCTGCACATCTGGCCCGCGGCTTAACTCGTCATAGGTGCCCTCATTGTCAATCAGCTTGGAATAAAACCCGACAGAGGCGGAGGAGCCCGCGTTGGTGGACATTTTATACAGAAACAAACGAAAAACAAAATTTAAATTAAAACTGTCAGTGAAGAGTAACCGGAAACCAAAAGATCTCTAACAAAATTCACAGCTGGAGCCCAACGACTGGGAGAAAAAAGCCGTTCCGGTAATATCTTTTCAAATTAAAGCTAGATGACAGCTCTAATTTCTTTATGTGGAGCTGCCCACAGTCTCTGCACCAAGACACAAACAATATGATCAACAGCAGCCCTCAAAGCTTTTCAATTTTGACAGAGCTCAACCTAAAGCGTCAACCAGCATGTGAACTAGATCCTTTCCTTAAGTTACGAGAAAAAGTGGTGACCAAGTGCTCCTGATCAAAAGCAGATGTGCACACCTCTATGGAAAGAGAGGGTTTGTCACTTTGATCCCCTAGCCATTTGGACATTTGTTGAGAAAGTTCCAAAAAGAAGAGACAGAGAGGCAGCTGTAGCTTATCATAGATCTGGGAAAAGTTAAAAGACAAGCTACTTGGAGATTAATTCAGCAAATATATGTGACTCTTTCTTCCTTATGTTCTAAGCATAAATGTTAATTTGCAATGGCACGTTTTGACCAGTAGATGGCAGCATTAACCAGCTTCTGTTATTCCCTTTTTCAACAGACTAATAAACAGTGACAGAACTGCAGCTGATGATCGAAGTGGAGCAGAGTTTGACAGACCACCTGTGAAATGACTTAGAATACCAGGAAACTGATCAGAATCTCTATCTTTTTTTGTGTTGGCTCTTCTGCACATTTGAGGTTTGATGATTTTAAACCTGTTTAAGAAAACTGAGATTCTCCCCTCATCCTTCGAAAACAATGATTATCATTAGATTGTTAAAAACAGGAATGATTATAAAAAAGAGAGAATACACATGTGGTTGATAATGCTTTACGAACTAAAATATTTGATTAATTACCAATTTTTATTTCCACATTGGCATTGAAAGAATGGAAATTCCCACCAGAAATATGTAGATCTTAAGGCGCTAAATGATCCATTAATATAGTTAATAATCCATATTACAGGTAACATCTGCGTTGTTTCCACGTTATAAGGTGTTTCATTCATTTATTCCCTGTCCAAACCACCTAGTGGGGTCACATGGGGGCTGGAGCCTATCCCAGCTGACTGGATGAGAGGCAGGGTACACCCTGGTCAGCTCTCTAATCCAGGGCCACACACACACTGACATTAACTGGAAGTAACTTATTTTAACATGTATGAAAACATCATGTTGAAATCTGTGTTGTGCAGAAGAAAGGAACTGGTGTTTTTTTTCAGACAGAGGAACCCAGCATGTTTTCATCGTAGATACAACGAGAGGTTCAAAAGTTAACAATGATTTTATCAATGTGTGTCCTCAGTAAACTGTTGTCTGACTTTGACTATTCTGTAGTTTACACACAATTTTACACATCATACATTGAAAAAAAAGCCTCTGTAATTCTCAGGTAGAAAATTTGTGGTTCTGTAACTGATGAGATGAATTCTGAGGATGAGGTCAGAGGTCATAAAAAAGATGTACGTGTACTCTGTATGTACTCTGTGAGTTTCCTCAGTGAACTGTGTCAGTCTGCAGCTGCCAGTTCGGTTTCAGTTCAGTCTGACTGAGGGAGGTTTTTGTACGACTGTTTTTCACTGTGTGAATATATCATACTTGCTTGCATCAAATTCCCCTGTACAGTAGTAAACTGCAGCATCTTCAGCCTGAACTCCACTGATGGTCAGAGTGAAGTCAGAGTTTGATCCACTGCCTGTAAAACGACTTGGAGTCCCTGATGCTCTGCTGCTAGCAGAGTAAATGAGCAGTTTAGGCTTTTCTCCATCTCTCTGTTGGTACCAGGCTAACAGGTGGTAGCTGTTATAAACATAAACGTTCTGACTGGTTTTGCATGGGATGGTGACGGAGCCCCCCACAGCAGAGCTCACGGCTCCAGGCTGAGTCACTGTGACCTGACCTCTGGACTCTGAGGATACAAAGACAAAAATAGAAAGCAGCTTCATGCTTTTGTGGCCTTCATTTCAGAGGGACGGATGTTCATAGAGGAGAGGAGTTTGATCCTCTGGACTTTACCTGTGAAGCAGCAGCAGAGGAGAGTCCAGATGAG